TGTGTGTGTGTGTGTGAAGGGAGGTGGAGACTGACTGGATGGGTTTCATCCAGTCTAGCCAGCTTGATCCAGCTGAAGGAAACGGAAACTTGATACAGTTTGTCATAAACATTCAAACCAGCCGAGTCCAGTTTACTATTATTAGGAAGGTTAGTAGTAGTACTATTTGTAGCAGTAGTAGTACTTGTTGTAGCAGTGGAACTATTTGTCGTATTTGTAGTAGTAGTATTTTTTATAGTGTTGGTATTTAATTTGCATGTTTTCAGTCCAGCTTTTCCAGCAGATTAGATGCCAAAAACACTCACATCATTTACATTTATTTCAAAGAAATCCAGTTTTCATGAAGTAATAATAGTACAAGTTGTAGTAGTAGTAGTAGTTGTATATTTGTGTTTCATGCATGTTTCTGCTTTAGTTCAGTTTTTTTCAGCAGATTACCTCACCGATTCTGCTTTCAGCATTTACACACTGCAGAAAAATGCTATTATTATTATTATTATTATTATTATTATTGATGAATCCTGCTTCTTTTGGGTTCTGCAGTTCCTGACCAAAAACCCGGCGCGGCGTCTCGGCTGCGTCCCATCGGAAGGAGGCGAGGACGCCGTCATCAGCCACTCCTTCTTCACCGGCATCGACTGGGAAAAATTAAACCGCAAAGAAATAGAGCCGCCATTCAAGCCAAGGATTGTAAGTTATTTAAAAAGGAGAGAAAAACTCCACTGGTGGCACATGAAGCCAGAAAGACACATACACTGTAAAAACAAACAGCTTCCTGGTGTGGTATCATGGGAAAAAATCAGCCAGAGGTTAAATTTGCAGATTCTGGAAGATGCCGCATTAATCTTTCATTTTACATTTTTTAGAGTCTAAATTGAACTATTTTGTCGTAATGACAAAAAGAGGATCTACGGTGGTGGCAGTATGATGCTTTTCTGCTGGAGTACATTCAAGCTGCACTGCAAAAACACAAACACTTAAAACAAGACAAAAGACAAAACTAACTTAAAAGTAACTGGTAAGATATGAGAACTTGTTTTAACTCAATAATAACTTAATGTTAATAAAAATACCAGTTATCAGTCATATAATCTGTGAAACAAGACAGTTTGACTTAAAACAAATTCTTGTTGTTCCAATTTTAAAGGAGATTCTATAAAATTTGAACAAATTGTTTTTAACTTTCTGATTTTGGAAAAAATTCTAAAAAAAAAAAAAAAACTAAATATTTGGTATTTTGAAAATGGAAGTAATGATTTAAAACGGGAAAAGTTTGGTTCAATATTATGTAAATCAAATAAAAAATATAATTAGGAGTTAATGCAGTTGTCTTTTTATACAGTAAAATATGCAAATAAATATTTCAATTCCTTTTTCAACTAATAAAATGAACATTTTACTGCCTAACTTTAATTAACGATTGATTATTTGTAGCAAATGATGCATCTTAGGCTAAAATAATCAACATGTTTAGTTATCAATACAGCGTAGGGAAAATCTGGTGGTTATTTTTTTGGATTAGTTGATTAATAATTGGACAGAAAAAGGTGCTTAAAAGTTATTTTTAATTTTTTTACAGAATTTGAACCAGGTGAGTTTTTGAAAGAACATATTTACAGATTAATGTTTTTCTAATTTTAAATACATAATCTATATATGTATAGATTTCTTTGCTCTGAGAAAGTTAATTACTAAATTACTAAATTAGTTAAGGATTATATAAATAATTGTTTCATCGCGATTAATCAGATGAATCGTTTCAGCTCTAAATGTAAATATCTTTTCTTTCTTCTCTTGTATTTATGGTTGTTGGTGTTTTATTCTGACATTTTCCTCTCGTTTCTTTATTATTTTCCAGAAAACGCCTGAGGATGTGAACAACTTTGACCCGGACTTCACCCAGGAGGAGCCGACGCTGACCCCCATCGACGACCCCGTAATCCCTTCCATCAACCAGGACGAGTTTAGAAACTTTTCCTTCACTTCGCCTGACCTTCTGGACATCTGAGAGGCTCCACTCCTGGCATTTATCTCACAGTTTTCCTCCCAGTTTATACTGAAACTTCTCGAACTTTGTCGCCGTCTCCCTTCTGCAGAAATGTGAGGAAATGTCTCAAAAAGACGTTGGACAACTCATGGAGACACCGGACGTTAGCTGAACTCCTCTGCACTCGTTTAACCCCGGATGTTGCATTTTTCATCTGATTTTTATTGTTATTTTTACTGTCAGATGGATTCACTGGCACATTCAACCGTTCTGTTGTAATGGATTTTCTTCCTATTCCTTCAAATGGAAAAAATACATTTTTTAAAAAAAGAAAATAATAAAATTGTTCTGTGTTCAGAAACACACACCAGTTTCACATGAGTCTCCCAGATTCCCAGAAAGGTCAAAATACCAGTTAAGTCCTGGAAAGCTGTGACTGGGGCTGAAATAGTTTTTCAGTGACGTACTTTTTCTCTGGAAAAATACAGATGCACACGGATTGAAGAAGTTAGAAATGCAGCAGAAGTTTCTCACTGATTTAAGGTGGCAGATAAGAGGCGGCGCATTAGCTGTTTGTTTGGACTCTGCTGCTCTTTGTAATCTGATCAGAGGGGCATGTTAAACATGACGCAACGTTTCGCTGACTCATCCTGATGGGGAAATATAAAAAAAAACTAGATTTCACCACAGCAGCATAACAAAGAGAGAGTGATTGCAAACGGTTATATGCTGGCAGGAATGAAAGGAGCATTCACTGTGTAAACACAGAGGCTACACTGCAAAAACAAACTCTTACCAAGTTGTCTTGTCTAGTTTCTGCTGCAAATATCTTTGTACATTTGAAAGAAGGCAAAACTAACTTGCAACTAATTTTTCAGAAAGATAGAGGAGCTTGTTTTAAGTCGATAATTCCTTAATATTGAAGAAATAAATACTAGTACAATGGCAAATTATTTATCTTGTAACAGGACATATTTCCCATAAGTGAAGTAATCTAGAACTTTTATATCAATCTTAAGGAATTACTGACTCAAAATACGCTCTTATATCTTCCTAAAAAGTTACTTTTTAGCAAATTAGTTTTTGTCTTATTTCAAGAGTACTGAGATTTTTGCACAAGACAAAAACACTTGGTAACATTTTGTGTTTTTGCACAAGTTTTACCAAGAGTTTTTTTTTTTTTTTTGTCTAAGAAAATTTTTTAAAAAATATGGGGTTGTGTTATACTCCAAAAAAAAAAAAACTTTCCAAG